ATGGTATTTTTGGGTTACTCTTCCTGAAAGGCTGTTGTCCCTTGGAACCGTGCCTCCTTAAAAAAGCACATAACATGTTCTCTTAAAAAAATGTAGAGATAATCAGAGAATGGTTCAACCACTCCTCTAAATCATAGCATGCCTCACATACTCAACCAAATGGCAGATTATTCAAATGCCGTGACATGGATCAATACCCTTTCCAGCAGGCTCCTGCCATCTGGGCTGGAAACTGTTTTAGCATAGGACAAAGCCTTTTCACATTTACAGATGAAGTTGCAAAAGGAAAGATCCATAGGAGAAAAAACTCCCGACTTTCCCTTTTCTGTCATTAGCCCACATCTCCCTGCCTCAAAATCTCATTAGCTCCTTCACCTCCCTCTCTCTTTACATCCAGACACCAAGTCCTGCCAGTTCCTTCTTTGATGTACTTTTCACAGTCTTATTTGTTTTCTGTTCCTTCTGCCAGACTCCCACATTCAAGCCTTTATTGCTTCACACCTGCATCATTGAAATTATCTCCAAACAGAACACTCTGCTTTCATTATTAGTGGTCCCCACTGACTAAAACTACAGTTCTTTCTAGCTTTTTAATCTGGTGTTTAAGTGCCTCCACAAATGATCTCTAGCCCCCTTTTTTGTACTTACCTACTTCTATATGAATCTTCTGCTTTGGCTAAAAAGGTCTAAATGGCATTTCTAAGAGAATCTGCTACCTCAAATTTAAATGGTATATTATATGTGCAAATCATTTGGCAAAATCACGAATATTATGTAAGTGTGAGTTATTTTGTCTTGTACCTACACCTGGTCACCTTGTTGTAAACCTTTAATGGTTAATAACTCTCTTTTCATTCTTATGCTGTGCCCTTACTCTGCTCAGAACATTTTCCTCTTATCTAGTTACCCTAATCTCCATTCCTTTGGCTTTAGACCCATCTTTCTCTCTCTTGACAGACTCTTCAGGTTGACATAACACATGAAAGGTTTTGAATCTGCTTCTTTCTCTAAAATCACCATCTCCATAATCAACTCAGTCTATTAATCAACATCTAGCAGTCCGGACAGAAATTTCATCCCACTTACCAGGAAGAAGAAATCAAGCTGCCTTTTGTCGCCTCATAAAGAATATCTTTTTCCATACCACCCCCCATCTGCCCAGAGCCTAATCCCAGATGCTCTATACAGCGTTTCCTACGTGCTCTTCTCTACCTACCCCCAGCCCACAGTAATCTATGTCCTCTGAACACATACAGAGCCAAACTCCTGTGATTCGTCCTGTTTATATGGCACTTTTATCTTGCCATAAGTAGTTATTTAGCCATATTAGTTTATTCTTGTATACCTCAATAGGTTGAAAACTCCTTCAGAATAATGACAGTATCTTATATTCATCTGTAGTCCCAGACTTCAACATTATCAAACAGTGGCTGACAGTTGATTACTGCTATCAGGTTAGTGGAGCTTCTCAGTCACACTGGAAGTGACTACTAATTCCCTTTCTTACCTGAAATGTTGATAAAGGCAGCAGGACATCCTATAGAAAATAGAAAGCCATTGTCCCCCTGGAGGAAGATATGCCAGAGGAGAAAACAGGTGCCTAGAAAAGGGATATGTAGAACCCAAAATACAAATATGCCAAATTCAGCATTTTACTCAAGGTCAGAGGTACATTTGTTTTTTTAAATGAGAGACTCCAGAAAGTTCTTGTTCTGTCAATTCCTCTGATTTTACTTTTCATTATTGGGATAATGTATGAATATGTACATTGCCTAAGCCAGCTTCGTGAAGCCTCAGAGTGCTCTCTGCTGTGGCCATGGTAGCCTTTGTTTGTTTACCTTGGGGTTTACCTGCCCCTGCAGCCATTATTCTGACACCAGAAAGTAGTAGGATTAACAAATATAAACATAGAAACAAGAAGTGCTACTGATGATTCCAGTAGGGAAAAAAATAAGCATAATTAATTTTAACATAGTAATAAGTCCTTACAGAACCCCACCATCAAATGAGACCCATCTAGAAGAGAAAATGCCCTTCCACTTTTAATTGAGTGACAAATCTCAAAACAATGAGCAGTTACTTTTGAAACCAGAGGATGCCATTTTCTTCTAGCTGAATGTAGTATGGGAGACAAAGGAAGGGTCTCAGCAGTGTCCACTGCTTTAAAAAGGCAGGATGGGCCCCTGATGCTTTTATCAGAGACTGCATTTCTTCTCCACATATCTTCCACCCTGTCCATATTAATTAGACAGATACCTAAATCTTACCTGCAAGTGTCAATCAGGGAAAATGCATGGTTTCCTGCCTAACAATGAGATGTGGCTTTCTCTTTCAAGAGACAGGATTTTTAAAAAGAAATCACTCATCTAGAATGAGTTTCAGTGTTGAAAACTGAACTTATTTATCTAAGTGTCAGATCCCTGACCTGTACAGCAGGATCTTTGCCTGATAACTGTATTTTTTAACTCTAATTTTAAAATTATACAATTAAAATTATACAAATAAATACAAGTAGATAGAGATTCTGATTAAACTAAAGATGCATATGTTCTGATATCAATTTATTGTTATATTACCATTATTAAAGTCCTTTATTGTCAGAGGGAAAAGTGAAGGCCCGTTTTGATGCAGATATACTTTACCTCAATACAAATACTTTAAAAGAAAAAAGGCTCAGGGGCTCTTTAGAGTTATGCAGCTTTTTTGCATTTATTTATCTAATTTTTCTATTGCCTTGACAATTATACTCCAATTGGATGCACCTCCATTCTTGTGTAAATCTTCCAAAGCAAGAAGAACAAATGTCCAAAAGTCACTGCCATACAATTCTATAAAAGACACAAACGTGGAAGTCTTAAAACTTCAAATGTAATACTTATGGCCAAGGCATAAATTCGATGAGCAAATTTTGAATTTGAATTATTTTAAATATACAACTTGTTCTAAAAATTTAGTAAAACATACAGAAAAGTTTCTTTTCTCATATAGCTCTACTTAGATTATTGTGAGCAAAAAGGAAATTGAATTTTCAAATGAAATAATAGTTATACTGGGGAAGTCAACCTTATCTTTTCCACCACAGCCCCTTAGTGATGCATAAACAAACATCCCCATAGTTCTTAAATATTGTCTATTTAGACGGGATATGATGCCTACTCCCAGATTAAATTAGAGAAAAAGACACCAAATGGAGGCTTTGTTCAGTTTGAAAAACAATAAAATGGCTTCAAGTGGTAGAACTATCCTTTCACCTTCTTAATTATAAACACAAGTGAAGTTTTTTTATTGGCAACTTTTGCAACCTGTAAATGCAACACGGTTTTCAAAACAGCAGATGCAAACATTTAAAAGCTACAGTTGAAGGGAGGGGAGAGTCTGAATCCATAACTTTGTGCAATTACTGGAAAACTAAATCATTACTCATCAGAAAATTAGAAGCTAGATCTAACTATGACAAACCTCTTCATTCCCATCATGTGGTTAGACATTTACATTCAAACGGAGCACCGAAATAACTTTCCTTTCTGGGGGCAGCAAGGAGTATAACCAGTTTCTCAGCAGGAGTGGTGAGAATAATTTTTGAAGGAGAGAAAGCTTGGAGTGTTCCACAAATTCAAAGGGCAAAAATCCAGTCTCCTGATAGCCTTGGCGCAGAACGGTCAGGCCAGGGGACAAATATAATCCCGTACAGGATTCTCAGAGACTCTCTCGGGACAGCACCTCCTAACCAGACCTTTGGGGACCCCTATTTAAGGTATACGCTTCTGAGGTCACAGGTAGTGCTAACCTATCAGGATCCATTTGACTGAAAGCTCAAAATTCCTATATGGAAACGAAAGTTCTTCTAACTTTGTATCCTGCACGTCCTGTAGAACAAATCCAGTGCAGTGTTTAGACGCTCTAAACAGAGCTATTACCACATCCGAAAAGGACAAGAGGGTGAATTAGGAGGGAAAAGTCTGCATCCTCTGGATAAAATTGCCCTTTCAGGTTCCACGAAGAAAGCCATCGGGAGCCCGGGCCCGCGCTCCCTGGGGAGCCTTTGCTCTTCACCGCCCCTCCACATGACCCCTTAGAGACTTCTGGGTCTCTGCAGTCCCAAGAGCTCTGCGGGGCCTAGCGCCGCCGGCTTCGGCAAATCCTAACTTGTCTCCCGGCTCTTCCGGCCGTCCCTGCGTGTAGGCGGAGGAACCGCGACCCGGCTACGTCCAGTGGCGGCGCGGCGGACGCACATCCAGAGCGCAAACCGCAGTGGGGAGGCGGCGCGCCCTGAGCCTCTCCGCTTCCCCAGCGCGCACACCGCGGCCGGCGGGCGCCTCCCGCAGTAGGTAAGTGGCGATGCCAGGATGTGCAGACTCGCCAGCAACCTATGCAAACGGCCGTGCGCTGTCCCCATTGTGTGACTGTTTCTTTGGTGAGTGCTGACACCAAGGCAAGCACAGACGAAATGGTCCACACATCCTCCTCACTGCCCCCCATTGGGGTGGCCTTATACTTACAAGTCCACTCTGAGACACCTTCTAGCCACCTGTTTCGAGTCCAGGAAAACAAAGCAAGCAGGGGCTGTGCACAGAAGAGTAATTCTGCGAGTCTACGCAGGGAGGCGGGGATCCCCGAGGACACCCCTGGCGCAGGGAAAAGCGGACCCTCCCTCCTTTCTGGGCCAGCAAATTAGTGCATCTGGACGGGCGAGAGCAGAGAGAGAAGCAGGGAAAGGAAAGAAGAAAGGAGATCGAAAGAGTGCATGTGTCTAGGGCAAGAAGACGGCGGAGATGGAACAAAGTCCCGAAGCTGAAGTCCGAGTTCTAGAAGTGGGCGGCAAGGGGGAAGCCAGCCGTTAGTGGGCGCGACGGCTGTTGTGCACAGTTTCGTTTTTCTGTTCGGAGTTTCCGCGAAGATTTGGGGTACAGAAGAGGAAGTAGGTAATTGCGGGGATCAAAAGTGATGCTGAGGCCAAAGTCTGAGCCAATGTAGCTCAGAGTTTCCCTGGCCCTCGCGGCCCGGGGCGGCGGCTGGGGCCTCCCTGTCCAGAGCGCACTGCCTGACGCGGGGCTTGGGAGGGGAAGAGGTCCGGAAGCCGCGGGCACAGCAGATGAGAAAGTCAGAGGGAAAGCAGCAAGTTATCTTGGGCGTTGATTCCAGAGGGCTGGAGGAAGCAGAGTGAATGGGGCGGGTCCTGTAGCCCCTGCTCGCCAGCTCTTCCTCCATCATCACTGGCGGCAGAACTTGCACTTGATGATCTTCTTAAAGGCGTTTTGAAAGTCCTTGTTGAAGTAGGCATAAATGACAGGGTTTAGCAGGGAGTTGGAGTACCCCAGCCAGTTGATTATAGCGCCCAAAAGGGTGGGCATGTGGCAGCTGCTCTCGCAGAAGGGCAGGACCAGAGCCACGATGAAGAAGGGCAGCCAGCAGAGGATAAAGGTGCCCATGATGATACCCAGTGTCTTTACCGTCTTCCTCTCGCGGGCCAGGGCCATCTTGCGCTTGGCCTCGGCGTTGCGCTCATTTTTCCTCTCGAAGGGGGTGGGGGCGCAGGAGGCAGCACCGGCCTCGCTGGGGAGCGGCAGGTGCTCTTTGGAGTTGCCTACTCGGTGCACCTCGATCGCCTCCAGGGCGGCGCCATCGTCGCCCTGCCTCACCGCGCCGTTGGCGCACAAAGTCCCCCCTGCCTTGTTCACGCCCCGCCTCCAGTCTCTGCTCCCTGGCTCTCCATTAATGCTCTTCTTGGGCTGTGGCGCTGGCGATGCTCCAAGGCGAGTGTCCGCTCCCCTCTTCTCCACCTTCTTGACCGTCTTGCGGATGCGGAAGCGCGCGGCTCGGAAGATGCGCCCGTAGAGAACCAGCATGAGTAGCAGAGGTATGTAGAAAGCGCCGAAAGTGGAATAGATGGTGTAGCCATGGTCCTTGCTGATGGTGCAAGCGTTGGGGTCCGAGCGGTCTTCGGGGGTGCGCCAGCCCAGCATGGGCGGGATGGAAATGAGGAAGCCAATGAGCCAAGTGAGCGAGATGAGCGCAGCGGCGCGCCTGGGAGTCCTCTTGTTCACATAGTCGATGGGGTCCGTGATGGCCCAGTACCTGTCCAGCGCGATGGCGCACAGGTGCAGGATGGACGAGGTGCAGCACAGCACGTCGAGGGCGATGAACAGGTCGCAGGTGATCTGGCCCAGGGTCCACTTGTTGAGCACCTGGTACAGCGCGGCCATGGGCAACACCAGCACCGACACCATGAGGTCGGTGACCGCCAAGGAGCCGATGAGATAGTTAGCCACGTTCTGCAGGGAGCGCTCCAGGGCGATAGCGGCCACCACGCACGCATTGCCTAGCACAGCACAGAAGATGAGCGTGCCCAGTAGTAGAGAGGTGATCAATTGGTAGCTGAAGGTCACGTCGGAGATGCCAGTAGTGTTGTCACCTGTCCCAAATGGACCCTGCGACGATGTTGTGTTGTTGCCCTGGCCAGGGCTGAGCCCATCCATGCCTGCGCGCCCGGCGGGGGGAGGGGGAGGGGAGGGGAGAAAGAGCTACGGTAGGATTTCCGCTTGCCCCTCCCCCTGGGGTCTTCTGACCCTTTTCCTGGGGAGTTTCAGAGGGAGGAGACGCAGGGACACAGGAGGAAGTTCTTACTGCTCTGGCGAAGGCATCTACGAGGAGCAGCTTTTAAGCGCTCCTGGGCTCGCGTGGTCCAGAGCGCTCAGAGGCTCCAGCTTGAAAACTGGAGTTGGCCTGAAAGCAGCTCCGGGATCTCTGGGCGGCGAAGTGGCTGGGACGTCTGTCTCTCGCTGTCCATTTTACTTTGCTGCTGCCCAGCTAGCTGCCAGAGCAGGAGCCTTCCCACCAGCAAACAGTCTCCAATCCCAGAAGGATCTGGAATAGAGAAACCCCATCCTCCACGGTTGCTCTGTGACCCTCCCCTCTCTGTTTCCTTCCTTCTCTGTCTCCCACTCGTCCTGTCTCTTCTCTTACTCCTCAGCCTCCTCCTCCTCCCTTCTGTCCCTTCTCCTTCACTCCTGCCTGCGCCTCCCCTGTTAGTCTCCCTCTTCCTTCTCACTCCCCTCTCTTTATCCCTCTGCCTGTCGCTCCGACAGCCTGTCCCCCTCCCTCTAACCCTCCCCGCCTAACACTTCCCCAACCCCGAGTGTTTCTTTCCTCTAGGTCCCCGCCCTCCTCTGCCTCTAGCCCAGAGCCTTTGTGTTCAAGTCCCTTTTTGTCGACAGAGACTCAGAACTCGCTTAACACACCGGATCCGCCGGCCAGACCAATGTTGTAACGAATAATCTCCGCTTCCCAGCCAGCCAAACCCGGGGGCGGGGAGGCGGGCAGGAGGGCAACTTTTTAACTACCCATTTCCTCACGTTTCTGTCAAATTCTTAAATAGAGTCAGGATCACAGAGGCCATAGGATATGAGAAAAGCAGGCACACGGAGCCAGACTGAGAAGGTGGACAGCCCTGGGCCAGCCTATAAGTTATTGTTAATTGGTGGAAAGAAGACCGAGTGTGTCTTAGCTCGTTAAGACCCCTGGTTCACCTAACTGTCCAGCCTAACTCCCTTGAGGAGGATGTTGCCTGTGATTTTTTTTTTTTTAACCTGGGGGAACTGGGGGAGAAAGAATTATAAAGGACGTGTCAAAGGACAAGGACGGGCAAACAGCTGCATCTCAAAGTGAAGGAAAAAACTTAATTCGGTATGTATTCTACACGCACGCGCGCGCACACACTTTTCTGTCACCACTACCCTTATAATTTCAGTGAACGCTGCTACCCCACAAAGCTTTGTGGAGAGTAAATTTAGAGAAGAAAATATTTTGTCTATGTGTTGTATATGAGGTCGGGCATTTTATGTTGTCTTTTGCATTTCTTAGGAAAGCCTGCAAACCTCCAGGCAGACCTTGGTGGAATCCACGATCGCCAGGCTCTGAGCCTCTCTTAATCTCCGAAACTGGGTTCAGCACCTGGGACAGTTCTAAGCAGTAAGGGCTTTTGTCGCCACCTTCCGGCAAAGACTTTAGAGTGCCATCTAGAAACCCTTGTCCTGCAGAAATTAAACAGGTATTGAGGAAATCCCGCAACTTTAAGAAAGAGTAAGACAGTTATTAAAAGAAAAGTAACGTTGAGTTTTGTCTTTTTTCTATTTTTCCAAAAATTCCTTCTAGTGCCCTCTTTTGCTCTTCACCTTGTATATCAAGCCCGTTATATGTTCCGGCTCCTTTTGAATGCCTGCAGCATGTCATTCACAAGTTCTATCTAGAAATGCCATTTTAATAGACCTTCACCTGCGTTGGTTTTGTGCTGCGATAACTTGTGCTTCAAACTCACATATTTGCATACATTCACCTTTTATTGGGGGGAGAGGGAACAGTATTATATTTTCCAAATAAGAGACTTCCATGGGTTTGTTCTAAGCTGTTTCGCTTCAAACTCACATATTTGCATACATTCACCTTTTATTGGGGTGAGAGGGAACAGTATTATATTTTCCAAATAAGAGACTTCCATGGGTTTGTTCTAAGCTGTTTCCTTTACCAAGAAAACCAAATTTAACCCCATTTGAAGATAGGTAAAGAATGGGGCTTCTAATAAACTAGAATAAATATACAACACAAGGCTCACTTATACATCCTAATTATATGCCTGCAGTGAAGAAAAAGTGCAGAATGCAATCCCAGAAGCAGCTGACTCTAGACAACATACACAGATTCACTACAGATTGCAATAGTCTTAATATTGTGTTCAAATTTGGGCTCTGAATTTCATAGCTTTGAATTCTCCAAGACCAAACAAAAGAGCAATCACCAAAGTATCAAAGAAAATCCAGTTGGGCCCATGCATACAGTACAGGGAAGTGTGTTTGGAGATGGATTGTTTTGCAATTCAGTGCTGGGCACAGTTCCCAGTCAATCATTTCAGCATGCCACAATAATGAACCTGCCATTTATGATGATTCATGGCATTGAAAAGAAAGAGATAAGTATTCATGGGAATACTGGTTACAGACTCTTAAGAAGTCTTTTTAAGATTCGTGAAGGTATACATTTCCCCTTCTAAAATTTCATCACGAATACAGAACTAAATTGCTTTGTTAAAATATTGCAGCTCCAAATGTTATAATAGGAAAATATTTAATATCTGAATTCTTCAAAGATAAAACTTTGAAAATACAGTTGAGAACATAAACAAATAGTAAAAGAAAATAAATTTAAATTTTGAAAAGCAAATATACACATATCTAGATCATACTGAATAAAAATTGTGTCAGACTTAGCATGTAAATATGTAAATCACAAATAAATCAGTAAATATGTCAGTAAGCAATTGTTTTTTCATCTGTTGGACCCAAATGGCTTAATAACTGATAAATTTATTTTTTCTTTTCAAGAAAACTAAAATGCTGTAACATGAGGTTTAGCATTTGCTATTTTGCATTAATCTGCTATGATGCAGCATTTTTAACTTAGTTTAAAAAATCCCAAGTATTTTGTTTTTTCTCAGAAATAATGTACATAATATATCAAACATTTTATTTCCTAAAATGTAAAACAAGTTTTTGAGGCACTCTTGTAAACACTAGTATGAAAATAGAAGTATAAAAAGACGTGCAGCACTGACTATGGTTCCATAACCTGCAAGTGACTAATCAATAATTATGCATTACTTTTTATGAACTAATAATGCTGTGGCATATAATAAAAGCAGAATGGTATTGCATTTCTTCATGTTCACACTTTGCCAATTCTTCTGTGATTAACTCTTAAAGATACAGAATCCCGGATATGCCTGAAGAAACTGGTGCAAACCAAAGCTCCTGGATAGAGTTAAGCTTTTATTCATCATGGCCTCTGAAGTGAACCTAAACAAAATCTAGCTTTATAACAGATATTATTGGTGACATCATTTGAAAACAAAAAATTCCAGTCATTCTGTCTTATTTCTTGTCTGAATTTACCAGATGCAAGCATGAATTTGTCAGGCTATGAATTTGAGGTATGACACATCATCCATCATGTGAAATTTTTCTAAAATAGTTTATGAGAGATAAATATTTTTAACATTTTTACAGGAAATTTGATACAAGCCCAGCATTTCAATGTAGTTCTTTGACCAGGGACATAGATAAAAAGATGTTAAGCTGATGTTTGGCTGTGAATCTTGAATGTTTTATTATTACTGAAGGTTCACTGATGGTTGAGGCTTCTCAGTAATTGATATATTTATCCATCATCTGCAAATTATGGCTGATTTTTCTACTAACAAAGAAAGAACCTATATGATAAAGAGTTGAACCTTTACTTATGAGGTTGCGAAAGCTATTTCTAAAAGTCTAACTGAAACTAGAATAGAAAATTTTATTAAGCAATTCTAAATTTAATTCTCCCTAATCTGCAAATACTAAAGCAGTAGGGCAATTGTAGTTTTTCCAGAACTGTGAGTTTTGATTGGAATTCATTAGGAAAAAAAACTTATTATAGGAAAATTTTGCTAAGATAATTTGAGAAATGTGGCCTTCTGATTATCAGTGAGAATTTACAAGAAATGTAACGAAAATGCAAGAGAGTAAATCCTTCTCTAAAACCAAGCACACTTTTTTTGTGTGCTGGTCTCTAGTGTACACTTTCCCCTGATGATATCATTCCTTCACTGATCTTTTTTCCTATCAGACACTTCTTGCTGGCCCAGAACTGTTCAGGGTTTTCAGTGGCAAAGTACAAACAGTGGAAAGTCTCTGCTCCTGAGAACTGTAAATAGGCTTGGTTCATTTAGCACACATGCTAAAAATATGGCATGAAGAGAGTAAAAAAACAAAAAAGTAACATGTATTCATTACATGTGTGGCTTTGGGCAAATTAATTAACACTCTTGTTTTCTCAATAATAAAATGGGTGGAATATCAGGCTTGTGAAGATTAAATAATTTAATACACATTGCTGGCCCATAATAAACACAAAATAAAAGTCTAACGATAATAGTAGTAATAGAGATGCAAAGTAATAATATTAATTCTCTCTCTACTGATAACTATTCAGAAGTGTGAAGAAAGAGAATTGGATGGCCTTAACAGCATGAGCTTGAAACAAAAATAAATAAGGTCCTTTCAAGTGCAAATTTATTATTAAAACAACTTGCATGTGTATGTTACATTTTCCCTATTTGTTAAAGTACTTGTTAAGTTTCCAATTCTCTAAGAAATTCTGAATAAAATACAGATTTTTAAAAAAAGATGTGATGCCTGCATTCTGGAACCTCTTGACTTAAGTCAGAAGTTATTGGTGGTGGGGTGGGGGTAGAAAAGAACATGTCAACAAAGTTCAATAACTGGTATAGCATAGGAGTCTGCCTTTTCCCTGGGATCTCGATCATTATTTGAAAGCATGAAATAAATAATTAAAATGTATATGTGACAATGAAATGCTTAAAAGTACAGTAAAAACAGAAAAGCAGTATTTTTGTTGTGGCAATTATCAGATTTATAGTGACAGGAATTAACAAATGTACTGTTCAGAGCTCGATTTCTCTCCAATGCTGTCTTTCTGTAAATATTACTATTGTTCACTTTTGAAGAAGGAAGAGCATAGTTGAGATGAGAAAAATGTTTGAAATGATAGCTTAATATTTCCTGTTAATCTAAGAATAGTTGGAAATTAAATTCAGTCTAATAATTATTTGAGGTAAAATTTACCATACTTCATCTCTGACAATGGTTGGGGAGAAATGC